TTTTTATTTACTATATAAAAATCTAATATACCACGTAGATCATATGAAAAATGATCTACATACACCCTACCCTTAAAGCTACTGTGAATTTTATAAAAAACAAGATATAATAAATAGAGTTTTTCTTGCATTTACATACTTGATCTTGAAATTTTATTGGCTAAAAATATTAGTTTTTTAGATGAGTCTGGCCAAAGGTTAGGATTTGAGTGCAAATAAACTAATTTATAATAGTTTTATTAGTTTTCATCTTCTTTAAACATGGTTATATCAACTTGATACTAAATAATGCTAAACAATTAACTTTCATTTATAATATTATAATATTATTTTTCATTTCATCATACATTTACTATAATCATTATATTAATAAAAACTTATGTAATATCTAATATACATGTAATATATCACTACTACTCGCACGTAATTTAACAAATTCTATTGCATAATTTACTCCGAATTAAAGAATTCAAATAAATAAATAATTAGATAAATAAATATAGAATGTCCAATTTACTGGCATTTTACAAATCCTGATACATCAGTGACACATTTCACGCATAACCATTTAGCAAAAGTTTCTATAATGAATTTTCTTGCACATTTCAATGAATCACTATCAACGGATGTTGGAAATCTTAAATCATTAATATGAGATGCGTTTTTAATTAAGAAAACAGTGTTTCGTGAGATGGTTTTATGATTTGATCCACTGATCGTCAGAGATTTCCATGGATCAAATTCACCTGTTTGATAAAATCAAATAAAAACTGAGTGTTATATATTTTAATAATAAAGATCGTGGAAAAAAAAAGTATAACCTACCATTTATGAATATGGTTCGAGAGAATATACCAGTATTTCCTCCAAATTTGTGATTAATTTTTTTAACATGTGGTGGTGGAATTTCAGGAAATAAAAAGTTACATTGTTTTTGATAATATTCCTTGTCAACGATTTGTGATCGAAACCTTTGTTTTGGTGGTTTTGGTGCTGTTTGGTACCAGCCAAACTCTGTACAGTACTGTTAAATCAATCAATTAATTAATTAATTAATTTATGTTTAAAAAAAATAAGTACATATGACGAGAACTAGAATTTTATTAACCTGATATACGAATGAAATTAATTCGTTAGGTACAATCGAAGTAGTAAGTTCCGAAGTAGCAAAATTCTTTTTGATAGCATCAGGGGTAACAATTCCAGTTGTGTTCAAAAAGAATTTGAAAACTTGTGCCAAAATTAATGTCGAAGTTTCTGGTTTATTATCAGGAGCTTTGGCGAATGCGCCACAAAATGTTGCAATAGTATCAATTTCTGATGGTGAAGTAGGTGGAAAATAAGATTGAACCATCAAAGCAATTGGGTGACTAATAGCTGAAGCAAAATCTTGATCATCATCTAAGACATCAAGACCGAACAGTGATTTAAGAGATGCAATCTGTGTACGGTTACCAGATAATAAAATTGGATCAATAAATAATTTAAACGCTTCTGCAACTCTGTCGCGACATGGAAGCGCATGACCAATTGCTAAATCATATTCGAAAAAATCGAGTTTTGCAAGTAAAGGAGCTGAAGAAGCCCAAGCAGCAAATACAAGCTTAGGAAATTTCTTGCGCATCCATGCTGCCAAATTTCCAGCATATGAACCTCCAACAAAGATCCATTTAGCATCTTTAGGAATCTTTATTATGTCAGTTGGTGGTTTTTTTATAAACTCTGCAAAATCGGCAAGAGCTTGGTTAACAGTTAAGAATTTCATATTTGGAGTGGTAAGATTTTTAATCGGTGGGTAACTTTCACCATAATAACGATGTTCAATAACAATAAGCAATCCATTGAAACTTGCGACAATTTCGCTGACTCCGGAAGCTTTAACTAACTTAGGATTAATTGGATCTTCACCAGGTGTATGAAGAAAAATAGGACCACCAGGCTTATAATAAGTAGAATTAACGAAGAATCTTTGAGAAAAAGTTCCACATGACTTATTACAGTGATCAATAAATTGTTTATAATAATACGCAGACTGTGAATTTGTTTCATTTACATTCCTAGTATGTAAATGTAAATTCGAAGTAAGATGGAATGAAAGAACGAAGCAATCCAAGAGAGTAACCAAAACGAATAACGAACAAAATATGGCGGCAAGTTTCATTTTATAATTAACGATAATGGATAGCTTATCAGTGTGTGGATTAGGATATTTTGATTAATTCTCTTGGTGCTAGTAAAAGTGCGAGAAGAGTGAATTGTCTAAGGAGGGAATAGTTGGGGATACTTTTTCCAAATGTTGGAGTTTTTGACTGAAACAATCGTAGTTTTTGTACAAAAATCATAGTCGAGTTATAAAAAATCACAAACACTTGTATTCTATTAAACCAATCATTTACATAAGAAATTTCTTTTTAAAAAGAACAATATCAAGAATTGTAGAAAAATACGATGTATTTGATTGTGTTTAATACTACGTAATATTGTTCTACTTCTATAATTTATTGATTGCATAAACTCAAGATTCAAAAATCTTATTCCCTTTTTTAGGGGCAAATTTATATTGTTTGTTACCATATTTGTCAATCTGATTACAATGCATTTATTGTTACGTAAACGGTTCGCTCATTGGCAATATTAGATATTGGTAATTGTCACTTTTTTTTTATTATGCAATTTATCATATTAAGTAATAAATAATATAATAAAAGGATGTGACAATTACCATAGTGTTTTATCAAAATGGTTGAAAATGACAAATAAAATTTTTTTGTTGAATACTGCGAACATTCGAATATTCAATTGCTTAGCACATTAATTAAAGATCGACGCCCAATTTTATATGCATACGATGTAATTGTTTACATATGCATACGATGTAATTGTTTACTAAAACAATACCTTCGTATGTAATCAATGTGCTAAAGGTAATCGAGTATTCGAGTGTTTGAGTACTCGCAGTATTCACCAAAAAAAGTTTATTTGCGGTTAAGACACAGCCACCGCTAAACCATTTTTCTCCTTTGTAATATTACACAAAACGTTTATTATATGTATTTAAATGTTTCTTTGACAGGTTATTATTTTTCTATGTTTGCAATCAGATCAATATTACGCTCGACAATAATGAAATTCCATCTTTTATAAATTTATAAACGGTTCAGAATTACAGTGCCCAGTGAAAGCAATAACTTTGGTGCAAAAATTAATACTAGATTCTTTGTCTTGCATGGAACATTTCTTTCGACATACAATAAGTAGTTCTTAATGTTTCATTAATCACTGTCAAATTCATTTCATATATTATCGATTTATGACTTAGGTGAACATGATCAACGAGGCAATCAGAAATAATTTATTTTTTTGCTGTTTGAAAAAGATAACTAAAAAACCATTTATAATTAAATAAAAAGCACCTATTATTCTTGAAATATTACAGTGCATCGGTAGGCGAAGGATCTAAAGGGTATGAATAATTTATGAATATGTGAGTGAAGGAAGGAACCTTGTATCAGAATCGTCAAGTAGCACAGCTAAATTAAAAGCGAGTTACATAAACCGCATCATATCTTGCTACGGATAGACGAAGATAGCAACCGGGAAAAGCTTTTGGCAGAATTTCGTTTGATGGCAAATTTACTGTAGGGATTTGTAAAAGTTTGCTTAGGATCATAACCATGACCCGTTCCTCGATTAATCGAGGAGTTGACCAAGTTGGCAACTAATCGATTTAAAATTTTCAAAGCAACTAATCGATGAATATTATCTACTTAATGTTAATAAACTTCAGAAAAAAAATCTTGTGACCAATTAAATTATCGCAGTTTTTAAAATGGTTGACACTAAAATATTTTGTATATTCACTGTATATTGATATAGAATCATCTAATTCTAAAAAATTTTTTTGTATACTTTAAATATAACTAATATATTTTAAAGTATACAAAAAAATTTTTTAGGATTAGATGATTTTATATCAGTATACAGTGAGTATACAAAATATTTTAGT